CTCTTTCAGAGAACGCCCACCAGCACCAAATACACGACGATAGATCTTGTCATTGTTCACCTGATGTTCGCATCAAACAAACAATAGTTTGAAGAAATCTTTGGTTGTATAAATTGAAATAAAACTGTTCCCCTTTATGGAATAATGTGTTTCGTATTCGTATCAGGAAAATAACATAAGTTCGTGTTGAAACGAAAGGAATAACTAGGTACGGTAGACGTATAAATTTCGACCTCGATTGTACACCATTATTTCCCCAAATAACCTCGTAGTTTCCATCCAATGATTGACTTACTCTCTTCAGAAAGCTTTACATATTTTAGGCCAATCCTCATCTCCGTCACGGAGANGATATCACGGAATTAGGAAATTCATCGCGATAGGTGGGTAGTTTTGCTGTCGTCTGGCTCCATACCAAGCTCATGCTAGTCATTATAGCGTAACCAACAATATTTACTTGTGGCCATGAGCTTTTTCTGTTATTCACACAGTGCGTAATAGAAAAAATACACCATACTTTTTCATAACCCAGTCTGTTGATGAGCGATCGCCTTTGGGCGTACCGGAAATTCCGTTAAAGCAACACTACCTACGGTCGATTCAACTGACTACTTGATATCTTAAATCTTGACATACTGCAATAAAACACACGGATGGCAAAGGTTTTTCTGGGGCACCGTTACCGGGTGCATGAAAGCGGTATACTAACCTTGAACTTAGTATCCTTAGACCTACCTTGACTGCAATTAACATGGTATAATTCTAATGTCTTACGTGTCCAACAAGAGCCACTCACAATAAACAAAGCCAACTATTCTCCATGCTGAATAGGTCTGCCTCGTAAAGGTTTGGCAGATCAATATGCAATCAAACTACCGAGAGTTTTTCACTGGTTAATAGCACTCTCGGTTTGTTAGGGTAAACAAATTTCATTGGTGAAATATTGATCACTATTCCCAAAGTTAGGTCAAAAATCCTCATTGTTTATGCACGATCACCCGGGAAACGTTCTTTATTCTTTCACTTCCTTTTTATTCATTATAGGTATATCTGCTTTCTGTTGCAAAATAGGTGATTCATTCAATCTGCAGTTTATGACCTACGGGTTTCTAGAATTAGTTAAGAGGATGTTAGGGCAAGCCCGATATCATGAGGGACGTTTTCATTTTTTTACTTTTACTACCCTACTATTCAGTGCCTAATTATCTAAGCAATTTACCGGAATGGGGGAAGCGCCCAATGAAAGAACAACTGTGTGATATAAGCGAACTGAGTAATGTTTGGTGATGGTGGCAAGATTCGAAACCACGACCTGCGACGCGACGTTTTGGTAACCAACACCAATTGACCACCACGGTGTTGTTGTATGTAATGAGCTTCTCATCAAATCATCCAGTCGCAAATCACTCGTGGGTAAATTGTATAGTTAAATGGACGTTTACATTGCAAACTCTAGCCTGGAAGGTAACAGAAGAACTGAGCTAATTTTGTCACTTGGTCAATCGCATATCTCCTTGTGGACGAATTCCTTGAATTAGCACTTACCAAATCAAGCCATGCCCGTTTGGGATCAATGGTATACCGCAACTGTCCGGCTAGTGCTGCTTTATCATGCATACACAACGGCAGGAGAATAAGCACAGGCGGCAGGGGGGAGGCGACCCACTCCTGTAGGCCATATTAGGCTTCCCGGCTGGCGAGATCTTGATCAACCTAAACAAAGGTGAGAAGCAGTGATATATCTCTACTGCAAGCAGTGCGGCTCGTTCGTCTGCTCAATTTCGGTGCAGGCCTCATTTTCGTGCTTTCTATGCTTGATAGGTCTCAGTTTGTAAATCCAATTTACTCCATCTTCATTGGTCGAATAAATCATTAGTTGAGAGTCAGTAACCTGAATCATCGTACGACAGTATACAATTATAGGTTGTATAAACTGAAAACCCGTAGTGTATGCACCGGTTTGAACTAATTTTTATTTTGGTATTGTTCTTAGTGGCAATCCATCGGTTCTTGTCTCGTTCCATCTATTGAGTTAAGCTTTACAGAGAAGACAAGACCAAACTGCTGGCTATCGGATTGTCTAAAAGAATATCGTTATACTGCAGACTTTACTTTGATGTTCAAAATGAACGGGTACCACCACGAATGAAGGATCAAGCGGGCGGGAACCCTACTTGTAATCGTTTTCCTGAGAGTCCCTGTGTATCGCTCTGTTCAATGGAACTTTCTCTAGCGAAGGATAGTTGTGTAAAATCGAAAAGCCTCATTGTTTTTGGATCACAGTGTCCTCGTCAAACTCTCATAGCACTATATAGGGAGGACACTTGCCAAGTAAAAACCTGTCCTATCCCTGGGAAATACTGCTGCTCGTCCGCGACCGCTTATTATGTCTCGTTCGTTGGTCAGCTTTCTCCTTCCACAACCTGGAGAATCGCATGATAGCGCACCGCTAAGCTTTATCATCTCCGGTTCATTTGTGATCCAGTTTATACTCACATACTTTTTTCTGAATACAAACTGCTTGCGGTGTCATGTGGCCAATTAGATTAAACTCTCAACTGGCTTTGGGGTTTAAATTGATAAGGTACATTGCCGTGACGTCCTCCACCCGAAGCCAATTGTGTATCGTTTTTTCTAGATAATCTATGGTTCCAATAATAATCCATGATAATCCATGATTCTAAATAAGTTCGATATGCGATTCTGCCGGCAAGTATGAGATCCCGTAGAAAGCTTAGTGCCCTGTTTGTTTTACGTTCTCCCTGAAAATTGCTATCGGGTTCATTCGGTCGTTCTAAG